GGCTGCTAAGCGTCTAGGGCACACCACCCAAACGAGCACCATTGCCTCTCCACCATTGCCCGGGCTGAGAACACTCGCATTTCCTAATTCACATGTTGCGACTAATGTCCTGTGGGTGGCAGAGGGGAAAATTTGGAGTAGACAGCCCCAGATGCCCAGGGCTCCACAAGTTCTTGGGGAGGTGCTGCCTGATGACAGAACGGGACATGGCTGACCTCAGCCACTGGGAGGCAGAGCTCCTTGCCCTGGCACAGGGCACCCTGGGCCAAGCTCCCAACCCATCTGGACTCACTCACACACCCACGTGCACACACTCACACCCCACCCCCTTCACATGCACATATACCCACACCCAAACCCATGTACATACTTATGTATACATTCATTCACATGCATGCACACACACCCAAACTCTTGCACACACATATACATACACCCATGCACATACACATATACATACACCCATGCACATGTATGACTTCGCTGATAGCTCAGTTGGTAAAGAATCTGCCTGCAGTGCAGGAAACCCTAGTTCAATTCCTGGGTCAGGAAGATCTGATGGAGAAGGGAAAGGCTACCCACTCTAGTATTCTTGATCTTCCTTTGTGGCTCAGCTGGTAAAGAATCCCCCTGTAATGCGGGAGACCTGGGTTTGATCCCTGGGTTGGGAATGTCCCCTGGAGAAGGGAAAGGCTATCCATTCCAGTATTCTGGCTTGGAGAATTCCATGGACGGTATAGTTCATGAGGTCTCAAAGAGTCGGACATGACTGAGCAACTTTCACTTTCACACACGTACACTCATACACACCTAAACTCACACGCATATCCTTGCACACACACCCCCAAATACACTCACACACCCTCCATTGCACACACCTGACTCCACACATAGTGTACACACACACCCCACACACACACACACTCATGTATCCACACTGCTGTCCTGTGGTGTGTACATACACACACGCTCATGTATCCACACCACTTGTCTTGTGGTGTGTACATACACACACACCCCCTACACATGCTCATGTATCCACACCACCCTGTCCTGTGGTGTGTACACACGCGCACACACACACTCATGTATCCATACCACTTGTCCTGTGGTGTGTACACACACCCTGCCACACACACACACACACACTCATGTATCCACACTTCTTGTCCTGTGGTGTGTACACACACCCCCCACACACACACACGCTCATGTATCCACACTGCTTATCCTGTGGTGTGTACATACACTTCACTACACACACACATGCTCATGCATCCACACCACTTGTCCTGTGGTGTGTACACACACACACCCTTCCCCTCCCACACACACACACTCTCATGCATCCACACCACTTGTCCTGTGGTGTGTACACACACACACTCTCATGCATCCACACCACTTGTCCTGTGGTGTGTACACACACACACTCTCATGCATCCACGCCGCTTGTCCTGTAGTGTGTACACACACACACTCTCATGCATCCACACCACTTGTCCTGTAGTGTGTACACACACACACTCTCATGCATCCACACCGCTTGTCCTGTGGTGTGTACACACACACACCCTTCCCCTCCCACACACACACACTCTCATGCATCCATGCCGCTTGTCCTGTGGTGTGTACACACACACACATGCTCATGCATCCACACCACTTGTCCTGTAGTGTGTACACACACACACTCTCATGCATCCACGCCACTTGTCCTGTGGTGTGTACACACACACACCCTTCCCCTCCCACACACACACACTCTCATGCATCCATGCCGCTTGTCCTGTGGTGTGTACACACACACACATGCTCATGCATCCAGACCACTTGTCCTGTAGTGTGTACACACACACACTCTCATGCATCCATGCCGCTTGTCCTGTGGTGTGTACACACACACACATGCTCATGCATCCACACCACTTGTCCTGCAGTGTGTACACACACACACTCTCATGCACCCACGCCACTTGTCCTGTGGTGTGTACACACACACACGCACGCTCATGCATCCACACCGCTTGTCCTGCAGTGTGTACACACACACACTCTCATGCATCCACGCCGCTTGTCCTGTGCTGTGTACACACACACACATGCTCATGCATCCACACCGCTTGTCCTGTAGTGTGTACACACACACACTCTCATGCATCCACGCCGCTTGTCCTGCAGTGTGTACACACACACACTCTCATGCATCCACGCCACTTGTCCTGTGGTGTGTACACACACACACACACTCTCATGCATCCACGCCACTTGTCCTGTGGTGTGTACACACACACACACACTCTCATGCATCCACACCACTTGTCCTGCAGTGTGTACACACACACAGTCTCATGCATCCACGCCGCTTGTCCTGTGGTGTGCACACACACACACCCTTCCCCTCCCACACACACACACTCTCATGCATCCATGCCGCTTGTCCTGTGGTGTGTACACACACACACATGCTCATGCATCCACACCACTTGTCCTGTGGTGTGTACACACACACACTCTCATGCATCCACGCCGCTTGTCCTGTAGTGTGTACACACACACACTCTCATGCATCCATGCCGCTTGTCCTGTAGTGTGTACACACACACACTCTCATGCATCCACGTGGCTTGTCCTGTAGTGTGTACACACACACACTCTCATGCATCCACGCCGCTTGTCCTGTAGTGTGTACACACACACACTCTCATGCATCCACGCCGCTTGTCCTGTAGTGTGTACACACACACACTCTCATGCATCCACGCCGCTTGTCCTGTGGTGTGTACACACACACACATGCTCATGCATCCACACCGCTTGTCCTGTAGTGTGTACACACACACACTCTCATGCATCCACGCCGCTTGTCCTGTAGTGTGTACACACACACACTCTCATGCATCCACGCCGCTTGTCCTGTAGTGTGTACACACACACACTCTCATGCATCCACGCCGCTTGTCCTGTAGTGTGTACACACACACACTCTCATGCATCCACACCACTTGTCCTGCAGTGTGTACACACACACACTCTCATGCATCCACGCCACTTGTCCTGTGGTGTGTACACACACACACGCACGCTCATGCATCCACGCCGCTTGTCCTGTGGTGTGTACACACACACACATGCTCATGCATCCACACCGCTTGTCCTGCAGTGTGTACACACACACACTCTCATGCATCCACGCCACTTGTCCTGTGGTGTGTACACACACACGCACGCTCATGCATCCACACCGCTTGTCCTGCAGTGTGTACACACACACACTCTCATGCATCCATGCCGCTTGTCCTGTGCTGTGTACACACACACACATGCTCATGCATCCACACCGCTTGTCCTGTAGTGTGTACACACACACACTCTCATGCATCCACGCCGCTTGTCCTGTAGTGTGTACACACACACACTCTCATGCATCCACGCCGCTTGTCCTGTAGTGTGTACACACACACACTCTCATGCATCCACGCCGCTTGTCCTGTAGTGTGTACACACACACACTCTCATGCATCCACGCCGCTTGTCCTGTAGTGTGTACACACACACACTCTCATGCATCCACGCCGCTTGTCCTGTAGTGTGTACACACACACACTCTCATGCATCCACACCGCTTGTCCTGTGGTGTGTACACACACACACGCACGCTCATGCATCCACACCGCTTGTCCTGCAGTGTGTACACACACACACTCTCATGCATCCACGCCGCTTGTCCTGTAGTGTGTACACACACACACTCTCATGCATCCACACCGCTTGTCCTGTAGTGTGTACACACACACACTCTCATGCATCCACACCGCTTGTCCTGTGGTGTGTACACACACACACGCACGCTCATGCATCCACACCGCTTGTCCTGCAGTGTGTACACACACACACTCTCATGCATCCACGCCGCTTGTCCTGTAGTGTGTACACACACACACTCTCATGCATCCACACCGCTTGTCCTGTAGTGTGTACACACACACACTCTCATGCATCCACACCGCTTGTCCTGTGGTGTGTACACACACACACGCACGCTCATGCATCCACACCGCTTGTCCTGCAGTGTGTACACACACACACTCTCATGCATCCACGCCGCTTGTCCTGTGGTGTGTACACACACACACCCTTCCCCTCCCACACACACACACTCTCATGCATCCATGCCACTTGTCCTGTGGTGTGTACACACACACACATGCTCATGCATCCACACCGCTTGTCCTGTAGTGTGTATACACACACACTCTCATGCATCCATGCCGCTTTTCCTGTGCTGTGTACACACACACACATGCTCATGCATCCACACCGCTTGTCCTGTAGTGTGTACACACACACACTCTCATGCATCCACACCGCTTGTCCTGTGGTGTGTACACACACACACGCACGCTCATGCATCCACACCGCTTGTCCTGCAGTGTGTACACACACACACTCTCATGCATCCACGCCGCTTGTCCTGTAGTGTGTACACACACACACTCTCATGCATCCACACCACTTGTCCTGTAGTGTGTACACACACACACTCTCATGCATCCACACCGCTTGTCCTGTGTGTGTACACACACACACGCACGCTCATGCATCCACACCGCTTGTCCTGCAGTGTGTACACACACACACTCTCATGCATCCACGCCGCTTGTCCTGTGGTGTGTACACACACACACCCTTCCCCTCCCACACACACACACTCTCATGCATCCATGCCACTTGTCCTGTGGTGTGTACACACACACACATGCTCATGCATCCACACCGCTTGTCCTGCAGTGTGTACACACACACACTCTCATGCATCCACGCCGCTTGTCCTGTGGTGTGTACACACACACGCACGCTCATGCATCCACACCGCTTGTCCTGTAGTGTGTACACACACACACTCTCATGCATCCACACCACTTGTCCTGTGGTGTGTACACACACACACGCATGCTCATGCATCCACGCCGCTCGTCCTGTGGTGTGTCTTCATCCAGCATCAGGAACACCGACAGCAACAGCACCAAGGAGCTTGCTGAGCTACAGGTCAGAGCACTGTCTCCCACGGGCTCCCCTGCCCTGGAGCCAGGCCAGCCCTCCCTCTTCTACCTCACAAGGCTGTTCCCACTGCGTGCTTGGACAGCCCTGGGCATGCATGCCCAGACCAAACCCAGCTCTGAAACGAGGAGGAAAAGAAGCCAGCGCTGAGCAGGGCTCCTGGTGTGTGTAGGATCCTGGTGACCAAGGCCCGAGGCGCTGGAGGTCAGAGACTGACGAGGCCACGGGCTCGTCAGAAGGTGGGACCCTCGGGAAGGAGCGGGAGCTCCCTACGGTCAGCTGATGTCTGCCCAGCCTGCATGCAGACACCTTGTCTGGAGGGCTCCACAGTGTGAGCGGGTCCCACTGTATCACCTCAGTTACTGTTTGCAGACCACCACCAGGGCTGCACCCCAATTCCCTGCCTAAGCTTGGTGCCTGAAGGGTGCGGATCCTTTGCTCCCCCTACCCTGCTGCTTACCAAAGACCTTCCTCCTAAAGAAAGGGAGCTCGGTGGATCCTCCCTTCCCACCTTCCACACCTTCAGACTCCAGCTGCTGGGAGGTGCCACCTCAGCGCTACATGCTGCCCCTCTATCACCTGTCCCCTCCACTTGAACGCCCTCCCTCTGCCCGTGTCCAAACCCCCTGCCATCTGACCATTCACTGCCCCTGCTCGGTCCCTTCTGCCTCGCTGCAGCTGTAAGCTCACTCTCGCCCCTTCCCAGTGGTCTGCAGACCAGTGGGGCTCAGGCAAGCTTATACGCAGAGGTGACAGAGCTCAGCATATGAATGAGCAAAATATTAATACTCCCCGCACAAAATTTTCATCTGGATCCTTTAGCACTATACAGATAGCAGGGCTGTATTAAAATAGGCCTCAGACTGTACCTAATTTTTATCAGACTCTGAACATAAGGAAAGAATTAAGCTTTGAAGGAGGTATCATTTCCAAATTTAAGCAGATTCTTGTTTTGGAACTTTCTCCCTTGAAAATTACTGAAAGCCAAAACTGACAGGCATGCTTTCTTCTGAAATTGCAGAGTAATTTATTTATTTATTCAGGCCATGTGCTCGCTGGGATGGCATCTGGAGATAAACATCTGCTTTTGGTGAGAGTCTGCAATTTAGTCATGCCAAGCGCACAGCAACTTCAGTTGTGCAAACGCACAAAATATCTGGCCCTCTTTCTAAAATAAGAGAACTGGTCAGAGGTGGGGGCCGAGTGTGGAGTCCTTCCACATCCTCCTGTGGCCAAGCTGGCCCCAGGCAATGGGTCTTCTTTATAGCAAGGGGCCTTAGGAATGCCTACCCTGCCCTCTCCCCAGGACCCTATCCCAGGCCTTCTGCTTTCTGCCTCCTCACTCCTGCAATTCCATGCTCACCACTCCCCTGCTCAGAGACACACCCAAGCTGAAGGTTTAAGGTGTGGGGCAATAAAAAGTAACCTCTCCCAGTGGCATACCCCTCAGAGGCTCTCCCCTGTCCCATCCATCTGAACTTCATGTAGCCAGGACCCTAAATGGGGTTTGGTACGAACTGTGTGCCACGCTTGCCCTTAGGGGTGCAAACGGTGCCCACTTGACCCCTGGGAGGCCCCACTGGAAGAGTGGAGAAGCCCAGCTGCAGGAGGGTATAGCTGAGACACCCGGACCCTAATGAGGGCTCCAGTATCCCCTCTGGGCCTGCCTGGGGCTCACCCTGACTGCCAACATGCTGCAAGCTACCTGCCTGATCTCCTGTCCCCCCACATGGAGTCCCTGTAGTCCCAGTGCAAAGAGGAGAGGGAAGACTGTAGTCCTGAGGGCTTGCGAGTCTCCATCTCTGTCTCCCAGAGATGCGCTTCATGGCAATTTTCATAAAGTCTCCCAGGCATTGGTCAGGTGAGCTTTGCTCCGTGCAGTGAGTCAATTCATCACAAGGTCTGTCAACAGCACTAGACCTCGGCACACACAGAACTTCAGACACCCTGGCTTGTTCTCTCCATTCTGTCTCATGCAGAGGGGGCTTCCTAGTGCCCTGGGTGCCATCAGATGACCTCTGCCCCACTATGGCCTCGGCCCCTCTCTCCGTGGATGGAAGAACCTCTCTTCCCTCCCAGAGGCCAAAGGGGTTTTGTTGAACAAAGTGATGATCTCAGGACCAGCCAGGAGGGCCAGACTTGTCTCAGGTTTAAACATGAGCAAATCTGAGTCAGGGACCCTCTTGACTGATTGGAAAAGACTCTGATTGCTGGGCAAGATTGAGGGCAGGAGGAGAAGGGGATGACAGAGGGTGAGATGGCTGGATGACATCACCAACTAAAAGGACATGCATGAGTTCAAGCAAACTCCGGGAGATGGTGAAGGTCAGAGGAGCCTGGCACGCTACAGTCCATTGTGTCACAAAGAGTCGGACATGACATAGCGACTGAACAACAAAAATACCATTTTTCTAGATTCTACATATATGCGTTAATACATGATGTTTGTTTTTCTCTTTCTGACTCACTTCACTCTGTGTGATAGTCTCTAGGTCCATTCACGTCTCTGCAGACAACACAATTTTGTTCTGTTTCATGGCTGAGTAATTCATGGTAATTGCAGCCATGAAATTAAAAGATGCTTACTCCTTGGAAGGAAAGTTATGACCAACCTAGATAGCATATTAAAAAGCAGAGACATTACTTTGTCAGCAAATGTCCATCTAGTCAAGGCTATGGTTTTTCCAGTGGCCATGTATGGATGTGAGAGCTGGACTGTGAAGAAAGCTGAGCGCCAAAAAATTTATGCTTTTGAACTGTGATGTTGGAGAAGACTCTTGAGATTCCCTTGGACTGCAAGGAGATCCAACCAGTCCATCCTAAAGGAGATCAGTCCTGGGTGTTCATTGGAAGGACTGATGTTGAAGCTGAAACTCCAATACTTTGGCCACCTCATGCGAAGAGCTGACTCATTTGAAAAGACCCTGATGCTGGGAAAGATTGAGGGCAGCAGGAGAAGGGGACGACAGAGGATGAGATGGTTGGATGGCATCACTGACTCAATGGACATGGGTTTGGGTGCACTCTGGGAGTTGGTGATGGACAGAGAGGCCTGGGATGCTGCAGTTCATGGGGTCGCAAAGAGTCGGACACAACTGAGCAACTGAACTGAACTGAATATTCCATTTTATATATGTACCACATCTTCTTTATCCATTCCTCAGTTGATGGGCATTTAGGTTACCTAGATAGCATCACCAACTCAATGGACCTGAATTTGAACAAACTTCAGAGATAGTGGAAGATAGGGAAGCCTTGGGTGCTAGCCCATGGGGCCACAAAGAGTTGGACACAGCAACTGAACAACAAACACCCTCTTGTAACAAGCAGGTAGTAAGATGGGCTGTTGGACCACAGCATTACATGACTTTACATGATGTACAGGTCCCTATGGCCATTTCTCAAAAACAAAAAAAGAAAAAAAGAAAGGCCATCTCTAGCACTGCCAGGAGTCCCCTGGCTTCTGGACACCTCCAGTGATGGCAACATGTCAGAAATGCTTATGTCCCTAGTGGGAAGGAACTAAACTCAGGGGATCCTGCTTTCAAAACAGACAAGATGCAAGCCCCAGAGGGCAGGTTGCTCTGAATTTGCTCTCCCATTGGGCAGCATCAAAAACGCTTGACCAGCATTAGCCTGCCTGTCTCATCCATACATCTGCAGTGTGCAGAGAGTCGAGGGACGCTACATGAGCAGAGTGAGCTCCATCAAGGCCACTCTTCCTGCTGTCTTCTCCCTTCACACTGCCCTGCTGACGGAGCCAGCTGCAGCCACAAACAGCAGCAAACCATGATGTCCCTCTCAGCCTTCCTGCCCTGGTCACTGGCAACTGGACAGCGCCCTACTCACTCTGTGGGGGTCCTGGGTCCACTATTACTTCCTCTCTCTCCCGACTTTACTGCTGTAAACACCATGCACCACAATGGAAACCATTAAATTCAAAACATGCTGAACATGGGGAACAAATAGGAACATTTCCATAGATGGGGCTGGTGTCCAGCTGACCATCTGCATTTTAAGTCCCCTGCTGTACCTCCCTGGCTCACTGCAGATTCTGGTCTGGCTGTCACCTTGAAAACAGCCTGCTGGAACCACAGCAAGAGGTTCCTTCTGCAACGACAAGGGCACCTGACCACCAGGCTGAGAGGGTGAGCGGGTTTCCTCCCCACAGCTGCAGCCCTTATGACTGGCTTCATCATACTCCTTCTGTCCTCAAATGTGTGATGGAGGAAGGGGACTTCTCCCAGGACCTCAGCACTAAAGATGTCCTGGAAAAGGAGTGGCTTCACAAAGCCCTTTGTTCACTGTCTCCTAGCTCCTGAAGCCACTGGGAGGACATCTCACAGCCAGCAGGGGTGGGGGAGTCTCACAGACAAGCAGATAGGAGGTAATGGCTTGGGCCAGGGGCTCTTGCTGGTTGTAACAGTGGGCCTTTAGAATCCATATGTTATAGATGCAGAAATGAATCTTCAGAGGTGGGAAGTAACTTACAGAAGTCCTACAGACAGACAGCAAGGAGAACAGCACTGTGAGTTGATGCATCAGCTTCCTGTGGGTGAGGAATGAGTGCTGGACCACCGCTTTCCTGGATGCAGGAAACAGACAGGGGTAGATCCTAAGACACCCTCAACATTCCTGCCCTTGTGTACACACAGGCTCACCCGGTTATTTGATCAAACACTAATAAGGCGTTGTTGCATAGAGATTTTGTAGATAGGATCAGGGGACCTTAAGACAGGAAGACATCCATGTGGGCCTGACCCAATTACGTGACTTCCTTTACAAGTATTTTTCTCTACCTGGTTGCAGAAGAAGAGTCCTAGGTTCACAGCATGAAAAGGATTTGGCCTGCTTCTGTTAGTATGCAGATGGAGGAGGCCATGGGGCAAGGAGCATGGGTCACCCCTAGAGGCTCAGAGCAGCCCCACTGAGAGCCGGAAAGGAAACAGAGACTTCAGTGTCACTGCTGCAAGGAGACAAACTCTGCC